ACCTGTGGTCAGAGGAAAATTCCATGGTTATCCTCCAGGCTAGGGTCACGTTGCTTATTTAACAATCTTTCACTGTTTTACAAAAACAAAACCTCTCCTCTTCTGATTTTCTTCCTGCCTCCATCTAATGTTTCTATTCTACTTCCTCTACAACGCTCAGTCGACTTCCAGAAACCAAAAACAACTTCTCTTTGCTCCTTCCTCTGACCTRGCCGGGTCAAAGAGGAGTCCTTTAAAAACCAAACTGGTCCGGTCAGTTCAGTCTYCATCAAWCAAACACACAAACTTTGTTTAAACTAACTCTTGTCCCGACTATACTAACTGTGCTCAAACACTCTGCATCTGTTCATCTTTCCTTTTAAAACCTCCTCCTGTGTCAGTACCCACATCTACAATCTGACTTCTGTTTCTCTGTACCTTAATCTGTGTTAGGCAAAACAAACAGAAATATGGAGGCAGAAATGTGCCAAAATTAACACGACAAATAACCTAAGCATTAAAGTGAACATATATTCTATTAAAAAACAGACTAATTATATATATTTATGTATATTTAAAGAGTTTGATGATGAAACGTTTAACTTTACTACATAAAAAATAAGAGCATAAACAGTATGAGTACTTATTAAAAATGTAAAATGATGCATTTTTAAAACAAAAACAAGTTAAAGAACTTTACTTTTTATATGTGTCCCACCAAATCTAATTTAACTCTGATTTTAATAAGAATAGCAATATTTTTTTCATTTCCACAAATAAAAAAATGAATTTTGGCACATTTGGGACTCCATATTTCTCAACCTTTTCAACAAACTGCACCAGAGTACAACTTCCAGTCAGGTAAAGAAAACTATTTTCTGAACCAGTAAGTGAATTTAAATTGTCTGATGTTTCTGCATCTATTCTCTGTGTCAAAAAAATAACGTTCTCTCTCTGTAGAAYGAACTGACTTTTTTCTTTTTGAAAAATAAAAATATAAAAGCTTCACCCATATAAATTAAGAAAAAATATATACAAACATTTAAAACAAATTAAATAAAACAAAAAATTTGAACCCAAATGATGGCGTTGAGTCTTTCACAAGTTTGCAGAATAAAAAGTGAAAGAAGGATGAGAGGAGCTGCAGGAAGGATGGAGGACAGAGGAGAGGGAGGAGAAGTGAAAAACGGCACAGACGAGTCAATCTTTGGTGTCTGAAGGTGGGTTTATATCCAGTCTGTTTATTTGTCCTTCATGTGCCGTCCCCCCGCTGTCCTCAGCTCGTCCCTTGATCTGGATCCTCTCGTCTCCCTCGGCTTCACATCCCTCCCGCCACCGAAAACATTTCTCCTCTAAGGAAAATCAAAGAAACAGCATCTCCTCTAACGAGTGAGGAGCAGCAGTCCTGCATGGTGGAGGTGAAAGGGTCTAAGGAGGTCCTCTGAGCTCGTTCAGGGCCTCCTGCAGTCTCTGTCGGTACGACTCATAACGCCGGATAATCGTCTCCCTCTGCTCCGCCTCCTCCTTCTTCAGGATCTGCAGGAAGTTACGCAGCTCGGGGATGGAGAAGGCGTCCCACTGACGAGAAACAGAAAAGAATTTAGAAATAAAACAAAAAAAAAATAGTGTTTTTGTTGGTTTGGACCAATAAAACTTGATTAATGTATTTAAATGAAAAGTCTGACAGATGGTTTGTTTATACAGATGTTTATATGTTTCCTGCCTCACCTTCAGCAGCGCAGGATGCAGCTGTGCTCGTTAATAGTTTTTTATTTGGTCACATCGTGTAACGTAACGTCTCACAAGTCAGAAAAAAAATACAAATCTAAACAATTAAATGGTCGAAACAAGAAAAACAGATTTACCATCACTTCTCCGCTCTGCTGCTCTCTCAGGACGAAGCTGAGCATGCTGGGGTCGGGTCCAGCCACCAGACGAAGAAACAACGGCTTCTCACCGTCCGCCAGCTTACACACATACACTGCAACACACACACACACACACACACACACACACACACACACACACACACACACACACACACACACACACACACACACACACACACACACACACACACACACACACACACATGTATATATAAACACACATGACAGAGGATCAGAGGATGGGTGCGGCACGTTAACTAGTTATTTACAGCAGGGAGGCTTTAACTTGTTGACATATTTACATCTGAGCTGGAATCAATTTATGGACAAAACTATATTTTTAGGAAAACAAAACAATAATAAATAAATAAATAATAAAAGTAATGGATGAAATATGTGACCCATCACATCGAAACCAGAATTAAGTCTAAAAGTTGTATGTGGAGAAATAGGCAGATAGTGTTTTGATTAAAACTCTTGCAACGATTACAGCTTGTCAAAATATAACAAATGTGTTATCAATGTATCATTTCAATGAACTGTCTGAAATATCCTAAAAAAAAATTTTGAAACACTTTTGAGCATTAGCAACAAAAATAAAATAAAATAAATAAAAAAATAACAGATTTTGAGGAAAAACATCTTAAAACGTTGAGATTGTCCCTGTGAGCTAGCAATGTTTTTGTTTCTTTCCAGTTGGGAAATCTCAATATTCATATACTTAGAGGTTTCATTTTTAAAATGACATAAAAATACTCATTAAAATTACATAAAATTAGGATTTAAACCAAATATTTATGTATTATTGTAACCAACAAGACAAATTAAATAACATCTCTGGATCTATAAATGATATCAGGATGATCTAAGTATCAAAATTTAGCTTTTAAAGCAGGAATCTGAAAATATGATTAGGTCATTTTGATCAAATTTGACTTAATCCTCATTTTGATGTGATGTGTTTATTTTAAACCAGTATCAAAAATAGAATATTTAGATTTAAAGAATGATCCTATTTTCATGTGATTATTGGACAGTTGTCAAATCTACTTTTTCTGAAATTTTATTTAGAAGAAAATCATTTCTCCATTTTTACATCCCAGTTTAATAAAAAAACAAACAGTTTGTTTTCCTCATGAAAAGTCAAATAAAATCCTTTCAAGTCCAAACACATCTGCTGTCAGGCTTGAGTCTAGACGTCGTCTGTAATTAACAGGCGTAGCTTTACTCCAGTAATTAATGCAAACCAAACCAGGAGGAAAAAACACAAACATCTATAAATATTTAGTAATGACTTTTCAGACTTCAAAAGGAGAGATTTTATTCTTGTTTTTAAGTTTRAACCCACGTCTGTGACTGATGAACGGCCTCCTAACATGAAGCTGTTAACTAGACTGAAACAGAACGTGAGATCCTCCAACAGCTGCTGATTTACTCTGTGTGTGTGTTCTGTTTTTACACTCCACATGTGTGTGTGTGTGTGTGTGTGTGTGTGTGTGTGTGTGTGTGTGTGTGTGTGGTATCTGAGCCGAGGGCGAGGCCTCCACACGCACAGAGATGCCTGGATTGCTGCATCACACTCACCCTGCTCCTCTCGGTGGTAACGCTTGTACAGGGCGAACTTCGCTGGGTTGTCTGCGACCATGAACTTGTTCAGCAGAGCCACGATCACCTGAACACACAAACACAAAGATTGTTGCTCATGAACACAACAAACCAGAAAAAAAAATTGGAGAAGTTGCAGATCTTTTGAGCAAAAATGCAGTGAGGACGCTGAAGACCCTGAACCTGACATGTTAAAACTGAAAGAAGCGAAACACTAGCTAAAAACATGAAATATCAGATGGTTAGACTTTTGATACATTGAGTCAGAGTTAACAAAGAAAGACGAACAAGAACCAGTTTGCAGAGACAGGTTTGTTGTTTAGAAGAAATCTAAATGGATTTAATTTAGGYAAAACTGTAACAAAAGTTAAATATTTTGAAAAGTTAAAGTTACAAAGTCACAGCAACTATCTCCTGAAAGAGCAGAAAGCAACACCCTGGGTATATTTCTGCACAACAGYCAAGCTTTAAAACTGGTTTTGTTAAAGAAAAAACTAAAAGTAAAAGTCCAGAGCAGCAGATCCTGGTGCTGTGCTGGTTAAAGTGTTTTTGGGAGTTCACCTGTTTGACGGTGTTCTCGGAGCTGATGTGGAGGGTTTTGTCCACTCCTCGGGTCAGATAGAAGGCCTCCTGCGTCACGCCTCCTTTCTGACCCCCCCGCACCGTCACCGGCCTCCTCAGATCTATCGTGACCTTGATGAAACCCGTGTACACAGAGCTAGGATTCTGGAAGACACACATTTAAAACACGTTACAAACTCTTCTAACAGACTAATGTTTCTCTCCTGCTGCTGTGGAAGAACACGTTTAACACAACAAGAGTTTTCCTGTGAGGAGAGCTGTCTGCAGGACAGATGGCCCCAGATGGAGGAGAAGCGTCTCAATCTCATTACTCCATATGGAACCTCGAGGAGCGGGTGTGTGCACACAAACACACACTTTTGTGTCGACTCAGATGAAACGATGAAAAGATGAGGAAAGCCATAAAACAGACACTAATCAGATAGAACTGAAAGCAAATAAAGTTGAGATAAATCAGAAAATGATTTACTGGCTCCCTGAACAGAACTCACCGTTTATTTAGAAACTCAGTTTTACAGGAAAAATTCATTTTCTCTGCAAGAAGCTTCAGCTTTAAGAATTTACTGTTTATCAGTAATTTAAAGTTCTTGTCAAATATGACAAGAAATTACAAATTTATTCAACTAATTGGTTTTTTCATGGGACAAGGCTAATTTAAATGATCAAAAGCTAAATCAACATTTTAGATTAAAAGGATAAAACTTCTTGAAGCAATGCATATCAGCGCTGCCTTTCATRTTTTAGACTCAGATCAAAGGATCTGTTTGCTCTGTGAGAATGACTCTCAGCTACTACCACACCAAATTTACTCTCATTGGGCCTCATGCAAGAACCGTTCGTACGCACAGATTTGTTCTTATGTTGTGCG